GAGGAAGGGAGAGGGGGAGAGAGAGAGAGAAACATCAATGATGAGAGAGGATCATTGATTGGCTGCCTCCTGCATGCCCCCTACTGGGGATGGAGCCCACAACCCAGGCATGTGCCCTGGCTGGGAATCAAACTGTGACTCCCGGTTCATTGGCCAGTGCTCAACCACTGAGCCACGCCGGCCTGGCTAAAGACTCTTTAAATAAAATGAGTTTTGTTTCCTTATTATTCCAGCAGCTTAGATTTTATGTTGGTACTTTTCCTCACTGGCTGAGTCAGAGTCCTGTCAGCTCGCACTTACTGAGCGTTCACTGGGTGCCACACTCTTGTGTACCAGCTTCCCACCTGTTAACTCCTACTCCTCCCAGCTCTGGGAGGTGGGCTCCACTCTTCCTCTTACACACAAATCCGGGGGCAGCAAAAGTCCCCCACCCAGCAGGTAGCAGAGCCAGGACCCCTGGGAGGCGCTGGCTGCGGGGCCTGCTCTGGCCGCTGCCCCCTGAGGGGCAAGAGGAAGGATGCCCGCTCCTCCCAGGTCCTCATTCCCACAGGGCACTGAGCTCAGGCTCGGGGTCTGAAGTGCCCCAAGCCGCTCGGAAGGGAAAACTGCCCACTTCTCTGAGCTGACGCTGAGGGAGCAGAAAGGAGGATCCAGACTTGGCCGCTGGTTCCACGAGGGGACAGAGCCCGAGGGCTGCGAACTAGTTTCAGATGAAAGAGCCGGCCTCTTAGGGACCCACGCCTCAGGGCTCCGCGCCGCCCGCCGAGGTCCCATTGCCCTGGCCACCGCGGTGCGTGCTTGCTGCGCTCAGCAGTGTCAGGACCACAGGGTGCAGGAGCGGAGCCCCTTCCGTGGGAAGGTTAGACCCTGGTGCTCAGTGGTCAGAGCTGGAGGGGTGGCTGTCCGGCACTTAGGGCCCTTTCCGTGGGGATTCCCTCTTCTCAGCTGCCCAGCCCCTTGGCTTTCCCTGGCACTGGCTTCACGTGCTTATTTGTTAACGAAGCTCGTTATCTCAGTTTAAAAAACAAAATCTACCCCTGGCCAGGTAGCCCAGTTACTTAGAGCATCATCCTGACACCCAAGATTGTGGGTTCGGTCTCTGGTCAGGGCACATACAAGCAGCAGCCAGTGGCAGCATTAATGCCGTGCTTTTAGCTCTTCCGTTTCTGATTCTGGCAGACAGAATACGGTGGATTATGTGAGAAGAATCCCATCAGAGCCCGGCCATGAAGGACACGCCAAGCGCAGTCCTTTTATTTGCTCCATCATCCCGAGCTCACAGGGCCTCGGTGCCCACAGGGCTGCAGCATTTGCCACAGACGTTACGCAAGCTGCTCATTACTGACAGGAGACACCGCGATGCTCTGGCCTCGCCAGGGCGGTGAATCGGCCACAAACTGTGTTTCACTGCAGTTAAAATGTCGCAGAATCGTATTTATGCCCCAAAGCTCAAGGGCGTTCATTCAGACCCACGCTCAGAGGCCAGCGTTATAAATCATGTCAGGTCAAGTAGGGAATGACAGGGACTTGGACAGCGTTTATGTCTGTTTTCTGTCCTGAAACCCCTTCCTGCTTGAAGGGAGAATTGGGGGGAGAGAAGCCGGGGGGCGAGGACTCTGGTCAAGGAGGGCTGCCTCTCGGGGTGCTCTCAGGGCATCAGCAGGCGCAGCTGGAAGAAAACGGAAATGTTTGGTGGCTCCAGGAAAAAGCCTGTGTCTGCGTGACAGCCACCGCGGCCGCTGTCTCAGAAAGGCGTCATGCGAATGTTTTCCCCTCAGCATCGTGGAGCCCAGAGGCGGGGGGGGGGGGGTTAGGGGGGGTGCACAGGGTGAGGTCGCCAATGCATCGGGCTTCTAGGAAGCAGGAAGGCGGCCCTCGAGGACCCCAGTATCTGCCCAGGGCTGGACGCTGAAGGACGTTGTGGGGTCACTTCACGAAGCGGGAGCACAGGTGGCAGCCCCCCTGAAGGACGGTGTCGGTGTTCCCTGCCCGGCATCCATGACTAACGGCCCAGGTTCGTGGGGAAGACACGTGGCTCCCCAAGAGCTGGTGCCCGTGAGAGTGGTTGTGTGAAAGAGGACAGGAAGGTTTCTAAAGCCCAGTTCCTCACTGTCGGGTGAGGGTGGTAGCTTGTGGGGTGCTTCCTACCATCGTGTTTCTCGTGCAGCTCCTCCCGTGCCGGCTGCGGGGGAATTACTTCCTCATCAGGTGCAGCTTGGGGTGGGAAGAGCTTACTTTATATTCTTTTGAAAATGAGTTTTAGTTTAACCCTTAATTGCATGTCTTTAAAACTCTAAACTTCTGAAGGCGCTAAGATCTACCCCGTGTTTTTTCTGTTCTTTAATTTCTTTGCATTTATTCATTCGAAGGTAAAATGTGCAGCTAATGTGAATCTCTCAGATCCTCACTCACCGGATGTGTATTTCCCTCTGTGTTCTGTTTCTTTCCAAACAACTTCATCAGAATTTCGAAATCCCTCTCATTTTAAAATTCAAATACTAATTATTTAATGGATCTATTCTTGAAGTTCCCGAATGTGTTTTCCATTCCTTTCTTTGGCCTGTACCGCAACCCCAGTTGGGCCTGCCCCTCCCCCACCCTGGCCCGCTCACCCGCAGCAGGGCCGCCGGGTCTGATACAGGGGGGCCCCGTGTGCCGGGTCTGATACAGGGGACCCCGTGTGCCGGGTCTGATACAGGGGGACCCCGTGTGCCGAGTCTGATACCGGGGGACCCCGTGTGCCGGGTCTGATACCGGGGGACCCCGGGTGCTGGGTCTGATACTGGGGGACCCCGGGTGCCAGGGGAAGGCCCGGGCTCTGAGCCCGGCGTCCACGGGCTGCAGGAAGCACAGGCGCCACCTTCAGGCCGAGACTGGCCGGTGGTGGTACAGGCCCCACAGCGTCGTGGGTTGGCCTCTGGGCAGCAGGGTCCTCCGTGCAGCTCCGGGCGCTGGAGGGATGTGCCCTCGGTAAGACCTGCTGCCACAGACGGTCAGTCTGTTCGCCAGGTTCTTCGTGTTCGGTGGTGACACACACACTGCTCACAGGAAGGGCTGAGGAACTTCACTGTTCAGGAGCTGCCTCCCCGCTCGGCGGCAGGTGGCGGCCCTCAGGAGGGCTCCTTGCAGGCCCGCGAGGTCCCACCCTGCCCCCTCCCCCCTGCCGCTCTCCTCCGTCTCCTTCCCTGGCGGCCTGGCCTTCACGCAGGGAACCTGGCCGCTGCCGTGGACACGGTGTCCCGGGAGCCTCGGCCCAGATGTGGCTCCCACAGGCCTGGGCGTGTGTCGGTGAGCGTGCGGGTCCCTGAAGGCTGGTTACCCTCTGAGCAGCAAAGCCGTCTCAAGTCTTTCCCGACGTAACGCTCCTGTTTAAACTCGGCCAGGCGTCTGTCACTAACATCCCCCGGGTAAGGCGCTGCCGCTTCTCGAGGGGCACGCTCACCTGTGACCAATGGCCCCAGGCCCGGGAGACAGGCCGACCCACGGTTTACAGCCTCTGCTCCAACCTGGGCATCAAGAGCGTGTTTGGACGTTGTTAGCTGCTGTCAGCACCTTATAACCCTCTGCCACCAACTGTAAGCCCCTAACCAGGTTTTACTCGCTTGTCTGTGTATTTATTAAACATTTGTTCCTTCAACAAAGAGGCCCGCCAAGCACTGCGCAGTGCCGGCTGCAAAGCTGGCTGACCTGCTCCTGGCCCCCCTCCCCCCGGCCTTCAGAGGCATCAGCGTGGGGGGCGGGGTGGAGACTTGGGGACGGGGCCACAGGAGGGGCACCTCTGCCAGCGAGATGCCACCGATGCCATCACATCAGAACGAGTCCCGAGCAAAGGGGGTGGGCCCGGCGATGACCTGACTGAATCCTGCAGTGCAGAAGCCTCGCCATGGCCCTGTACCTGCTGCTGGGCTGCGGGGTCACCTCCGTGTCTGTGCCGAGATCTAGACAGAGGGGGAGCTTAGGAGCCCAGCCCCGGGGTGAGGTCTTACCTGAAATCAGTGCCTTTTTTTTCTTCAATTTATAGCATTAGTAGCGACACTGTGGAATCACCTGGTTAGGGTGCTGACCCTCCGGTCACTTCGCTGTAAAGGCGTGTTTTCCCTGTAAAATAAGTAATTTACAGGGTGACACCTTGACACGTGTGTCTTATTCCCCAAAACATCTCAGTTAATGTCGAGCCGTCGAGGAGCCTCTCCTGAATCCATGGAGACTGTGCTTTGTCTGGTTCTAAGGTTTCCTCCAGTCAGTGTCCTGGAAGGTCTCTGTAGCCGGCCCTTTCCCTGTAATTAGACTTCGTGTAACCAGTGCGTTCCAGCACACTGCAGCCTTTTTGGTTTTTGTGCGCAAACTGCCCCACATGTGGCTAGTGGGGGGCCCTCAGCTGGCCCCGCAGCCTGACACCTTGCTTTCCACACACAGTCCCAGCTCGTGTGCGCTCCCTGCCGCCCGGCCGTCAGCCATTTCTCACGGAGCCTCTACTCGAGTAACAGTTAGAAACCAGGACTGGGGCACCAGGATGCTCGCTGCACGGAGGTGTCGCTGTCCCCACGCTCTTTCCGTGACCAAAGCCAGGAAACGCGGTGTTAATATTTCTTCTAACGTGTTCATCGAGCATACGGTCCTTTTCTTGGTTGGTAGAAACTCAACGATGGTGCTACTTTAAGCTGATCTGAAAACCTTCCCTCGGAAAAAAAAGCTTAAAATCCCCTTGTGTCTGTTACTCTTACCTCTCTGGAGGGAGAAGGACACCTGCACGGACCTCACGTTACCTGACGGGGAAAACGCCTCGCACCCGAGCTCAGGGGGCTAAGGAAGTTCCAAGACGACACTGCATTTTACCGTGTGTCCTTCCTACGGCATCTGAGCTACTTCTGTTCGGGCAGGGATCGCTGGCAGTGCCTCCTAGACATGTTAGCCAACTCCTCCTAAACCATCCATTGGCTCTGTGTCTACACAGCATCTTCCTGTTGCCATTGTTTATCATTTGTTCTGCTTACTTGCAGGTGCAGCTAAGTCCAGTCCAGCATCTAAACCAGGCTCCACACCTTCTCGCCCCTCATCAGCCAAAAGGGCTTCCTCCAGCGGCTCGGCATCCAAATCGGACAAAGATTTGGAGACACAGGTCCTACAGCTTAATGAACAGGTACGCCCTCCTCCCTGGCCCCGTGTGCGGGAACATGACAGGTGTCAGGGGGAGGGGTAACTCTGGGAGGGAAGGCTGAACCGCGTCCAGCACGGCCAGGGGTGAACCTGAGGAGGGGCGGTGAAGGATTAAAGAAAACAGACAGGAGAATACAGTTGGGGCCAGGTGGATCACTGCGCCTGGATGAGGGAACAGTGACACAGTCTGTAAGCCGGAGCTTTATTTTATAGTCAGAGCACACAGAGCAAAACAAGGGCAGGATGTTCACAATGTTCTTGCGAGTTTCAAATCTGCTTCTTTCCTGTTGTTGCCATTCTCTGAACTCTGTCAAGCTCTGTTTAAGGCAGCACTTGCTGCACCCCTCCATCCCCCATCCCTCACCCCCCACCCCCACCCCCACATCCCTTAGCTACCTAGGACTGCAGGGTTAGACTATTAAGGTCAAGCTTACAACCGTAGCCTTTTGGCTATAATGTGCTGGGAGGGCTTTGCCCTCCAAGCTGGAGCTTGTATGTGGCTTTGCCGCAAGTCAGTCCGAGGCTTGAACCTGCCCGAACGCTGTAGCCGCTCTCCACAGAAGGTGAGGCAGAAACCGTGGTTGCAGACAAGTAAGAATGAAAGGAACTGTCCGGGCCCACGGTGAATACAGATGTTCATCACAAATCTCAAAGCTGCGTTAAGACAGGACACAGGGCTCAGCCCAGGTAACTGCAGGTTTGCTGCCCGCCCCCCCCCCCCCCAACACACACACCTGAGTGTCTGTCAGGAGCCCCCTCTAGCCCACGGCCTGTTTGTCCACTTCCGGCCGGTCTCAACCTTGAGGCTTTAGGGCTAGTCTCCCTTCCTCTTCCTCACAGCCGGGTGTCAGGCTTGTTGTGTGTGACCGACACTGCGCGTGATGCTGGGAATGTGGTGGCAGCAGGACAGCCACCCTCCCCTCGTGGAGCGTGCGGACAGCACTGTCAGGCAGGTGACCACGCAGCCAAGAGCGACAACCTGACACTTCCCCTGCGGCCGAGACTTGTTACCCAGGAGCACTGAGCCCAGTACCGGGGTGACCAGAAAGTCCAGTGTCTTTTCGGTAGAACTTTCCTTTCCACCGAATATTCCTCCCGATTCCAGCAAAGCTGGCTCCACTGCCTTCGGATTTCCTGTGTGACAGCGTAGGTGCTTTCTAGCTGACAGCAGCTCATTGTCTGTATGAAGTCACACAGAACCCACTCTATGTGGTGTGTGTTTTACGGGAGGGGTTAGAACTTTATTTCAAACAAAAAATTCTGCCCGTATAAGACAGCAGTGTTTAGTGGTCACTCTCTCCGTTTAGGTGTTCATGAGGTTTTAATAGTAACAAAGCATTTTTGTGATCCAATAACTAAAGGGAAGTTGAGTTGGAGATACAATTAGTTTAGGTTTACTGGTATATATTTTTATGGTTTGCTGTCACTTTTGTGTATTTTTAGGCTATTGCTAGCTGCTTCAGAGCAGGGATTCATTGCAGGAATATTCCTACTGCCCACTGTGCCGATTCATGTGTCACAACATGAATGTGTAAAGCCCTTGATCACAAACTGGTTAGTGAGTGTTATCAATGCAAAGATTATTTAAGATGGGTTACTGTTCAAGGAAA